TTGTACTATTAAACTGTAACAGATAGAACATTTACAAAGTATTCTGTCGTACCTTCATTCCCACCTTTTGATCTTCCATAGTTAAACACATTCACTGCTCACCTTGAACCTTTTGCTGAAACTTCTTCAATCCTACCTTGGTTTTATAAAGCTTTATTTTTCAATATAACTCAAGGGAACACCATTCAGTTCTGGCATATTCATAACTGTGTGTCTGGTTTTATACTCAAAAAAATGTAGCTGGATATTAAAATTCTTGACTCAGATTATCTTTCTGAGTATGTTAAATATGTTCTTCCCAATGTTTTTTTAACAAAAAAAAAAAATGATGATTTACAAAAGTCCAATCCAAGCTGATACTGTTTCCCTTATAAGCATTTGAACATTTTACATGGATCCACAAAGGTGTTTTGTAGTCAAATGGACTTATTAAGCTATATTTCTATGCAAACTAGTCTGGGTCAATTTTCCCAGGTATTCTTGCAATATCTAGATTTAACTAAACTTTTTTAATTTTAGAAAATATATTTTTGAATTATAATATTAATTATTTGTTCTGTTTAACTGACTTTTTAAAAAAATGTCCAGGGACTCCATTTATATGTAGGTTGAATCTCCTTTGCTAAACTTCTATATTTACCTTCTCACCTTGAATTTCTTTTATCATTTTCTTTATTTACTTCTCTCATATGCATCCTTTTTCCCTATTGTGCTCGCTATATTTGCTTTCTATAATATTCCTTTGCATTTGGTCTTTATTTCTGAATTTTTTTCTAATGCTTTCCTAACTTCCATCAGTTCTCATTTCATATATTCCTGTTGTCTAGCAATTTCTGATGTTGTATGTGTTTTCTTAACTTTCTTAAGCTAATTTGCAAATATATCATCAGTTTTCACCTGCTTAGCAGACACATTTTTCTGATGTAGTCTTGTGTTCTGTGAGAATATTTTTTGGTTCATCTTTTTTTTTTAATTATTATTATAAAAAGAACTGTGATATCCAGAAGTTGTATGACACAGAAAGTAGGATATATAGGAAAAAATCGAGAGAGAAGATAGATAGGTAATTTGGAGGCATGTTGTGAAAGTCTTTTTAAGCCACACGTAAGATCCTGGTTCTACATAGAGACCCAGCAGAATATTTTAAACACATAGTATTTACAAAGAAAAGTGTAATTGTATTTACATTAAAAAGTGTCATGATCATCAATAATCTGTTTGTTTTCTAGTCATTTCTAGTCATTAAGAGAAGTTTGTTAAAGTCTTCCATTATGATTGAAGACACATCTTTTTCTTCTTAGAGTTATATCACTTTTGATTTATATATTTTGAAACTACATTATTGGGTGCATACAGGTTTATGACATTTTCTACATAGATTGGCATCTTTGTCACATTAAATGTCATTCATCATTTCTAGTAATGCATTAAGACCCAAAGTCTACTTTACACTGAAGTATTGTCATATCAGCTTCATTTCCCACCCTGCTATTTTCAACATTTCTGTCTCTATACTCTTCATTTCAAATGATATATCTTTCAGTTCTAGGAAATTCCAACAATGTGGTAAAATTCTCCATCCTTATATTTGTGGCCTCTGACTTGCACTCTATTTCCTTGAATATATTAATCATGGCTATTTTTAAAACCTTGTCTGCTAAGTCCAATACCTGAGTCACCCATAGTATTGTTTCTATTATGATGGGTTTTTTTTTCCTTTTTTTTTTTTCTCTATGTCTTGACATACTTGTACTTTTTGACTCAAAACTGAATGCTATGTATATTACAAAAAAAAAAAAACCTCCCAAGGCTAGAAATTATTATACTCCAGAAAGGTAGGCAGATGGAGCAGGAGAAGACTTCCTTACCATAAACAGAGTTGAGCAGACTCAAGGCTGGATTGCAGCTTGGGTGAGATTCCATCAACTCCTGGTTTATCCAGGGGTAAGCTAAGGTGTCCATTGGGAACTCCCACCCCACTAGCAGGGACTGACCTCTGATATTTATACCCTCAGCCCTGAAATATTGTTAAAAACTCCACTCTGCTTCTAAAGGTTTTCTGCTGAGCCTATCAGTTTCTTGCCCTCCTTAGCTCCAGAATTGAATAAAACATGTTGACAGGAATACTGGCAGTGTTGGGCATGGCACTTGACCCTTCATGGCCCTACAGTTTTCAAGTTTTTATCTCCACATCCCTGAAATATCAAGAAAAAGTCCTGCTAATTTTTATGTACAACTTCACCTCTTACCATTCATACACGCACACACAGACAGCTGCATCCCTCTGTATGGCCTTTGCCTGAAACATAGGTCTGGTTTTTTTGCTCAGAAATGGCAAACTCCTTCAGAGAAAAAGTAGCTGCAGAATGTGAGATGCCCCTTTGCATCTCACACCCTAGTTAAACCAGGTTTTGTGTAGTAGTTCTGATAGGCACTATAGTCAGTTCCAAGCTACTCTATCATAGCCATTGCTGAGCCTGAATATGAAGAAGATTATTCTGGTAACAGTGAAGAAAAAAAGAAGTCATTAATAATGGAGACCAGTTGATATTTATCAGGTAAGAGATCATGCAGGTCTGGACTAACTAAATAATGAGAAATAGGAGAAGAGATGTTTCAATGAATTGGAATATAGACTTGGAGAATTTCAAAGGCAGAGTCCATTTCAAGGGTAGGAGAAACTATAATGAACAGTGTTCTTTTAATTTATCATGTTTGGGATTCACCGAGTGCTTTGAATTTGAAATTCAGATTCAAATTCAATTTGAATCTGAAATTCACTGAAAGCTTTGAATCTGAAATTGTGTGTCTTTTATTCGAGAATTTTTCTGTCATTGTTTTTTCAACCTTTTTTTTCTGATGAATTTAAGGTCACAAAGATGTGTATTGTCTATGCAGATGACATATAATAAACAGATAAATCATTCTGAATTTCAATCACAGTGCAGCACTCATCCCCAAAAATGCTGTCTTCATTAGAAATATACTGGTTTCTTCTAGTGGTTTTTATCTTATCCTTCATAGCCTTTAGGAAGCAAATATATTCAGTATTAATTAGGCAAATACACATTTCTGTGATTTATTTTTTTGCTCTAATTGATCAACACTAAAAGGTCTCAAATAAAATGCCCAGGGGAATCTAGAAGGTGTGTGGTAATATTTAAGAAGCCTGCTTTAAATGTACAGGTACATTAATTTTACCTTTGCCTGACTTGTGGATAAGAGGGAAAGCAAGTATTGATATCCGCTGAGTCAATGTAAGAAGATACACTGATAAATTCTTTCACTAATAAAAATAGATGTATATAATACTATTAGTAATAAAAATAGTATTTTTATTATTGAAAAATAAATAGATTAATTATTCTACTTTAAATGTACCGTTTGTAAGGAACACTCAGTGCCATCCTCATTTCATCTTCTCCCGTTCATTCCTCAGCTACCTGTTCATCTGCGGCCTCTGGTCATCACTGATTATTCCACTCTTTGCTGCCACCATGACCTGTTGAATCTTTCCCCTTCACTGAGCTGTAGCTTCCCTTGGCCCTCATGGGAACCCTCTCACTTCTGTTTTCCTCTTGTAACTCAAATCCTTTCCTTCTGTTTCTCCCCACTGGCTTCAACTGCCGAGGTTCTCCGGAATTCTACTCACTACCTTTTGGTTTACTCATTGCACCCATTCTTCATGGGCACCTTATTTATTACTAACACTTCAGTTATCATCTCTATCCTGATTATTAGTCTTTATCTCCAGAGTTTTGATTTATATTCCCAACTTTACACCTGCCTATTTCAACAGTGATTGGAAAGACTTCAGATATCTCATTAAAAACAAATACAGCCAAAAAACAGTGTAACAACATATTTAAAGTGCTATAAGAAAAGAACTGTCAAATCAGAATTCCAGACACAGTGAAAATATGCTTTAGGAAAGAAAGCAAAATAAAGATCATCTATGATGAAAGAAAAGTAAGGGAATTCATAGCCAGTAGAACTGCACTAAAAAAATGCTAAAAAAAATTCTCCAGGTCAAAAAAAAAGAAAAACTACTCTAAATGCTAAATGTAAACTTGAAACTTAAGGAATGAAGAAGAAAGCAGAAATTGCTAAGTGTCTAGATAAATATATTACACCATTATGTATAATTATTGAAATAAAAAAGTATAACATTTTGTGATAGAGTTCTGAACACATGAAGATGTGATACCTAAGACAGCTACAACATGGAATGGGAAGAATATGGCGACCAATTTGGTCATAAAGTCTTCACATTTCACTGGAAATGAAGAACCATCTCTAAGAAGACTAACAAGATAATAGGCATATATGCTGTAATCTCCAGAACCACCACACATACATGTACACACCACTGTACAAAGAGATTCGGTTCACAAATAGATAAATTAGGCCAGGTGTGGTAGCTCACGCCTATAATCCTAGCACCTTGGGAGGCCCAGGCAGGTGGATGGCTTGAGGTCTGGAGTTCGAGACCAATCTGTCCAACATGGTGAAACTCCGTCTCTACTAAAAATAGAAAAATTAGCCAGGCATGGTGCACGTGCACATAATGTATAATGTGGAGGGGAGGGGGGGCATTTCCATTAATAAAAGCACATTGTTTCCTAAGGATGTAACTTAGGAAAAGATCACACCATTAAATAGACAGGATCTGGTGTTTCACTAATTAATATTATAATCTTGTAATAAAAAAGAAAATACAATGTGTAGCACAGTGTCTTTCAAATAGTAGGCACTCAACAAGTATCTATGAAATTATTAATAATTCATGAGTGATCACTGTTTATCATGCTTCAGTAAAAACATCTTTCATACCTCACACATTATTAAAATGCTATTACTGTGTAAGCGTCTTGAAATATTGACCAACAGTCAAGCTGCAAGTAGGTTTCTATTCTAATATGCAACAATATTAAACAGTCTACACATTACCAAAGTCTAGAATCTCTACATTTATAGACTGTCAAAATACAAATACATACGTGTCTGTCCTCGGCCCCACAAGCCGCGAATCGCCCACAAGGACTGAAAGCAATTCCACATGGATAGCCGCGGGATGGATGCCCTTCAAAGTGGCGCTCACACCTACGGGGAGGAAAGAAACACCAGGAGAAAAATCATTTTTAAATTTGAATGCAAATTAGAGGAAAGAAAACAACTTGTTGCTTTTCTTCACAAAAAGAACAAATGAATAATGGAAGAATATTTTATACATAAGAATTATTAAATGGTTAATGGGTCTCTCTCGAGATATTTAAAAATAACTCAAACACTATTCAAAATCTTAAATTCCCAAAGATGACAAAACTAATAGTAAATAAGCTTTTATATATGATAAATATTAAATGTAAACATATTCTGGAAATTTTTAAAATATCAAAACAAACCTAACAAATCTTCTAAAATAATAAATTATTTAGTTAAATTATTCAGAGACGTTTTGGAGGCAAAACATTCTATGAAGGGTGGTTAAGTTTCACAACTATTTAAAAAGTACCATATAAAATTTGTTTATTGTGAAAAATGCCAAGGAATTCTTGTTAATTTTATGGAGAGAATCTCCAACACCTTTTGGAGATTACCAGCGCCTTCCTAAGAAGACTCCGCAAGCACTGAGCAGCACTGGGCTGGGGACCACAAAGATGCCTGACAAGGTCCCTGCTCCAGGTGCCCTGAGTGGTGGCAAAGTCATACAGCACACAGGTAACAATACCAATACAAAATACAAATATGATACTATACGATACAATACAACACAAATACAATACAAACACAAATGCAAATACAAAATACAAATACAATACAAATACAAAATACAAATACAATACAGTACTAACAAAGTACAAATACAATACAAATGCAAATAAAAATACAAATACAAAATAGAAACACAAAATATAAATACAAAAGATGTGCTTTTGTATTTGTTCTAGTGATTAAAGTGATGAAAGAGCAGAGCAAAGACACTCTGCTAACTGTATCCTTGTGCACAGTGTAAGTGCATGCACATACACATAAAAATCTGTATCAGCTTGTTATATTGTTGAGTACATTATATATGCAGTGATCATAATTATCAGGATATATATACTTTTTTGCTTAAACAGGGTTTTATTTATATATAAATTACATTTCATATAAATATATAAAATTAATAGCATATATGTGACAAACAATCCGTAAATTAAGCTTACGGCTGTTGATAACAATGTAACTGCCTAAACTATCTCGCTTGGGAATGCTGGAAGCCTGCTCACATAAAGCTACCTTTACATATCTAGTTATGGCTTTTACTGATATAAAATTTGCTGTAAAATAAAATAGGACTGGCAGAAATAGTAATCAATTAGTTCTATAGAAGCAATTTCATAACAATTTCACTTTTTACAATAAATATGTATCTTTTTATTCCCTTAAAAAAGTAATTTCTGTTGACTATCTACTAGGAATATACATATTGGACACTTTATATTTACAGGAATGATTTATATTTTCAAAACAATCTTAGGAAAATAAATTAAGATAGCTTAGCTAAATATTTTTTTATTAACTTGTTTTCCATACAATGCCTGCAGTTCTGTATGTCACAGTAGAGGCTTAACCTAAGTCTCCTGGATCTTAAAAGGCTTCTGTCCAAATTCTCTGACGATTACAAATATTTAAATATTAATTATCCAAATGTCAATGAAAAGCAGCCCTGTGCAGTAAAGCAGTGTCCACTTCATTGTAAGACACAGCAATGGAGCTGAACAACCGCAGAGCCGTCTCTGGGCAGGGCTAACCGGGCTCCTCCGCGGGCGGCAGTTCAGCTGAAAACACGTCCGCCCAACCACATCTATCATCTAGAATCACGCTGGATGCAGTCACTGCCTTAAAACACTCACCTGAAGAACAAAGCTATTTAAGCGTGAAACAGTTGTACACAATTGTGATAAAAAAGCCATGCCTGACTATGTCATATCTTAATTTGTTGATTTTGTGTGTCAAGTTCAGTATTTTATTTATTGACTACCTGTCATGTCCTATGTAGTATAAATTCTACAAAGAGAATTATTTTATTTATTTATTTATTTATTTATGATGGAGTCTCACTCTGTCACCCAGGCTGGAGTGCAGTGGCATGATCTAGGCTCATGTGACCTCTGCCTCCCAGGTTCAAGCAATTCTCCTGCCTCGGCCTCCTGAGTAGCTGGGATTACAGGCATTCACCACCACACCTGGCTAATTTTTTTATTTTTAGTAGAGACGTGGTTTCACCATGTTGACCAAGCTGGTCTTGAACTTCTGTGCTGGGATTACAGGTTTGAGCCTACCACACCTAGCAAAGATAATTCCTTTTTTTTTTGTTTTGAGACAGAGTCTTGCTCTGTCACCCAGGCTGGAGTGCATTGCCACAATGGCCAAGATAATTGTCTAGAAAAATTCTGTAGATGGTAATATAGGCTGTAGAAAATAACCTGAACTGTATTGTGCTACTGAGAAAAGACTAAATCTTTGTAAAAATGTCATAAACATCTATCACAATATTTGTCATACATTTAATTCCTTTTTTCTTTTACATTAATTTTTTAATTTTCACATTCTTCTTTTACTATTAAAAAAAAAAGAGAGAGAAAAATAATCAAAGTACTCATAATCCTTCCATTTAATAACAACCCCAGAAAGTACTGTGGCACATGTACTGCACATTTTCTCTGCATATGCAAACGGCTTTGTTTTCCTTTAACAAAGTAGAGATGCATACTATGCAGCTTTATATCCTGCTGTGTCTACCCCAGAATACACCATGAACATTTCCCTCGTGATCATGTGTTTCTTGTCTAAAGTGCTCAGCGAAGAGGCCATAGAGAGCACTGGCCAAGAGCAGGTGACCCAGGGCCAAGTTCAACCCTGACCCCAGCTAAGCCCCTTCTCACCAAATGAGCAACTTTGGTGAGTTGCTCACCTCTGTGCTGCATTTTCCCCATTCACGAAATGGGCCTAAATGAGTTCATAAAGTAAATTTCTTCTTACAGCACAGGACACATTAATAAGTGCTCTAGAAGTGTAATTGAACTGGGTTCAGGAGAAATTTAAAAATTTTTGAAATGAATGAAGGTGGTAATACAACATAGTAAAGCCTGTATGATACAGTAAAAGTAGTGTTAAGAGGAACATTTATACCACTGAATGCCTATACCAAAAAACTAGAAAGATCACAAATTAACGACCTAATGTTGCACCTCAAGGAACAAGAAAAGCATGACCAAACCAAATCCAAAGTTAGCAAGAAATTTAAAAGATCAGAGCAGAACTCAATGAAATAGAGACCAACAAAACAATTTAAAAGATCAACAAAATGAAAAGTCAGTTATTTGAGAAGATAAACAAAATTGATAAACCACTTGTAGACTAACCAAGAAAAGATGAAATCTAAATAAACAAAATTAGAAATGAAAAACAGACATTACAACCAATACCACAGGAATGCAAAATATCATCAGAGACTATTATGAAAAACTACACACTCACAAAATAGAAAACCTAGAGAAAATGGATAAGTTCCTGGAAATACACAACTTCCCAAAGTTGAAGCAGGAAGAAATAGAACACCTGACCAGACCAATAATGAGTAGAAAGACTGAATCAGGGAAAAGAAAAAAAAAAAAAAAAGTTTCCCAACAAAGAAAAGCCCAGGACCAGATGAATTCATAGGCAAATTCCACCAAACATATAAAGAAGAACCAATATCAATCCTGAAACTGTTCCAAAATGTCAAGAAGAAGGGAATTCTCCCTAATTCATTCTATGAGGCCAATATCACTCTGACACCAAAACCAGACAAGGACAAAACAAAGAAATAAAACTATAGTCCAAGATCCCCGATGAACATAAAAACAATTTTCAACAAAATATTACCAAACAGAATCCAATAGCACATCAAGAAGATAATACACCATGACCAAGTGGGTTTTATACCAGGATGCAAGGATGGTTCAACATACAAAAATAAATAAATGTGATACATCACATAAACGGAATCATGGACAAAAAACATAGGATCATTTCAATAAATGCAAAAAAAAGCACTTGATAAAATTCAGCATCTCTTCATGATAAAAATCCTCAATGAAAACTAAGCATTGAAGGAATATACATAAAAATAATAAGGGCCATATATAACAATCCAATAGCCAAGGTCATACTGAATAGGGGAAAGTTGAAAGTCTGTCCTCTAAGAACTGGAACAAGACAAGGATGCCCACTGTCACCATTTCTATTCAACATAGTCCTAGAAGTCCTAGCCAGAGCCATTAGGCAAAAAAAAAAAAAAAAAAGTTAAAAAGTTGCTTTTTTTTTTTTAAAAAGAAGCATCCAAATTGGTAAAGAGGACATCAAATTATCCCTGTTGACTGACAGTATAATCTTATATCTAGAAAAACCTAAAGACTCCACCAAAAACACTCTTAGATTTGATAAATAAATTCAGTAAAATTTCAGGATACGAAATCAATGTGTAAAAATCAGTAGCATTTCTATACATCAATAATGATTTAGCTGAGAACCAGACATCAGTCCTATTTACAATAGCTACAAAAACAATGAAATACCTAGGAATATAATTAACCAAGGAGGTAAAAGATCTCTATAGGGAAAACGATAAAACATCAATGAAAGAAACTACAGATAACACAAACAAAGAGAAAAATGTCCTATGCTCATGGATCAGAAGAATTAATATGATTAAAATTACCATACTGCCCAAAGCAATCTATAGATACAATGCAATGCCTTTCAAAATACCAATGTTGTTTTTCACAACATTATATATATTTAAAAAAAAAAAAAAAAAAAACCCTAAACTTCATAAGGAACCAAAAAAGAGCCCAAATGGCCAAAGTAATCCTAAATAAAAAGAACAAAGCTGAAGGCACCACATTCCCTGACTTCAAATTATACTACAAGGTTATAGTAACCAAAACAACATGGTACTGGTATAAAAATAGACATATAAACCAATGGAACAGAATCCAGAACTCAGAAATAAAACTACATATTTATAGTCAACTGATCTTTGAAAATTGACAAAATCAACAATGGGGACA